GGGGGGGGCTGTAAAGCAGTGGGGTGTCCTGATGGATACAAGGGGGTGGCTGTGCTTTGCAGAGCTGCTCTGACAGAGCCACCTGTACCTGAGCTGGGTGGGAAGCTGGCTGCCTTTCTTCTCCCCTGCTCTGCTGGTGGGGTGTTTGCTGAGGTGTGGGGGATGTTTAATGGAGAAAATCGCTTTTCCAGGGCAACTAAAGGAGCTGGAGGTGCAGCCCGCCCCTTTGAAGTGTCTGAGGAGAGGAACCAGCCCCCAACCGGGGTCTCCCCAGTGCTGCAGGGCTGGGCTGGGCTGCAAGGAGGTGCGGAGGGAGATCCCTTTGCCTTCGCTTCGCTTCGTCGCTCCTTCCCGGGGAAACCCGGCGAGCCGCTCTGGATCGCTGCCGGGGCGGCAGGGACCGGGCTTCCCGGAGCCCACCGTGCTTCCCGGGGCCACCACCGCGCATCCCGCATCCCTGCGCTGGGTGTGCCCGGATCCCACCCCCGAATCCCGGGGCCGCCCTTCTCTATTCTGTTCCGGGGGTCGGGCGCCGGTTCTACCGGGGGGTCCCCGCCGGTTCGGAGAGAATCTCTGCCCGTCGCCACCCGCCTCCCTTCCCCCATCGGGAACCGTCCTGCGGGAACCGAGCGGCGGGAGCTGTGCGGGCGCCTCCCGCCCCGGTCCCTGCCGCGCCCTCCCCGGTGCCCGCCGCGCCCCCTCCCCGGTCCCCGCCGGTGCAGCACCGCGGACAGCTCCGGTCCCGGCTCCGGCCGTCGAGGGCGGCGGCGGCGGGTACCGGGGAGAACCGGGGCGGGTCCCGGTGTCGTGTCCCCGGGGGGGGTGCCCCCACTCACCATGATGGAGAAGACGAGGGCCACGACGTTGATGGGCCAGACGGGGCAGAAGCAGGAGAAGATGGCGAGCACCAGGTAGTCCCGCGGGCGGCCCTGCTCCGGTGCCGCCGTGCTGGTGGCGGTGGAGGAGGCTCTGCCCAGGCTGAGCCGCGACGGCGAGAGCGGGGCCGCCTCCAGGTGCCCGACCGATACCGACTTGTAGGCGAGCCCGTGCCCGTTGCGCTCCGTCTCGCCGGGCAGCGCGGCCGTGAAGGATTTGGAGCCGCGGAGGCCCTTTTCCTCCCGGCCTTCGGTCGGCGCCAGCAGCTTCTCGGTCTCCTGGAAGCGGGTGGGCAGCGCCGTGCCCGAACCCGAGCCTGAGCCCGAGCCCCCGGGGGCGGCGCCGCCACCGCCGGTGCTCGCCATGGCCCGGCGGAGCGGGCTCCGAGAGCGCCCCGCCGCCGCCGCTCTGCGCTGGGGGCTCACCGCCCCGCGGGAGGCCGTGCCGGAGGAGGGGCCAGCCCGGTTCGGCCCCCGGGGCAGGATCGAGGGCCGCGGACCGCCCCCGGGGTGTCCCCGTCGTCCCCCGCCGCCTTCCCCCGCCGCCCCCGAGGCCGCGCTCAGCCCCCGGTGCAGGCGGCGCCGCCGCCCCCCCCCTCGGGGATGCTGGCGGGGATGCGGCGGGGCGGAGCGGAGGGAAAGCCGGGGTGTCCCCCGCCGCCTCCAGCCCAGCCCAGCCCTGCCCGAGGCTCCGTCCCGCCCCACCGACTCCCCGGCTCTTCCCGGGGGCTCCCGCGGGCTCCGCTCCACCGCAGCGCTACGTGAGAGCCCAGCCCAAAAAGGGCTCGGCTGCCGCCAGCGGGGCTCGGTGGCCGCCTCCGGTCCCCGAGGAGCAGGGGGATGGCGAGGGCAGCTCTGTACACACAGCCCTGCTGTCCCTTTCCCCGGGCAGGCGGGGACATGCGACAGAGAGCAGCCCCTGGGTGGTGTGGGGGGGCCCGGCAGTACCCCCGGCTCCAGCCGCTCCGGGAAAGCATCCTCCCGGGACCCCCGGGCTCTCGCCGCATGTGGGTGACCCTGGAGACACGGCAGCTGGGGACAGGGACACCAAATCAGTGACAGATACTGTGTCCCTGCGTAGGACCCGCAAAGAATGGGTGCTGCTGCGGGGAGGGGTTAGATTCTGTACAAGAAATAACAGCATCCTTGGGAGCAGGGGGTGAGGGGCAGCAAGGAGGATTAAAATCAAAATTCCACAGAGCCTAGAGGATGTTGGAGCATCCATCCAAGATGGATGTTTTCCACCCATTCTGTATCTTCAGTTCCAAATTTGTCAGGGATTTCCCCGACAGTGAGTGCCATCTATGGGGCACACCCAGTACCTTCTACCTCTCTTAAAGGTGCCCAAGGAACCTCCTGCTGGCTGGGACCTGCTCCCCCCTGCCCAGCACTACCCACAGCCCCCCAGGCTGCTGCCCCCCACCTCCCCCCGCCGGGATTTATCCCGTCCCACAACCTCCGGGCAGAATTAGGGCCTGTGTTTCATACACACGAACCCCAAAGCAGTGGGGTGACCCTGCCCTGGGGGGGTCTTGCAAGGTTATTAAGCCTTCTCCTTGCTTCTGCCTCTCTGGCCATCTGCTTCCATCTGTCGGGCCCCAACTGACCACCAAAGCTGGGGGTAAAACCTGGAGATGCAAATTTGGGTGGAGGGATGGATTTGTGCCTGGGTTAGGGCTGGATTTTGCTTAAACCTTCTTTGAATGCTGATGTGGCTGGGCTCTCACTCCCCCTGTGATGCAGAGCTCCAGGGAAAGCCGCCCGGTGCAGGGATGCTGTTGGGAGAAGCAGGATTCCTTCAGCGGACATCGCTGCAGGCCTTCTCCTGGCAGGGGGAACATCTGTTGGAGATTAAAGCCAAAATGCCTCACACTGTCAGCACTTTAAAAAGGCTCCTTTGCTGAGCAAAGAGCTCTCTCTCCTGGCTGCTGCTCGCTCTCCTCATTTCCCAGCTGCCTTGTCCCACCCGGGGATTAAGGGAGGAGGAGGAGAAGACCCTGGGGAGAGACTGGCACACAGGAGCAAAGGATTGAGATGGTTATTCCAGCGTGTGCCCCTCCAGCAGGGAAAGAGCTCAGGCTGTCCTTGGTGTGTTGGCAGCCGGTGCCGGGGCTCAGCTGGGAGCACTGGAGTGGGAGTGGAAGGGCTGGAGGAGCTCTGCAGGGGCTCAGCACTGCAGGAATCACGCCATGCAATTTACCCCGTCTGAAAATCTGCTGGTTGTCATGTGTGAGGCAGGAAAACCCTGCCTAATTCCTGCATATATTCCAGATTGCTGAGCCCTGGGCAGAAGGGAGACCTCCCAGCTGGTCTGAGCTCTGAGCCAAAGGGGCCTTTCAGGTAAAATTCCCCCTTCCTCCACGCCACTGGAACCGGGCAAGACCATGCCATCAGCCTGTCCCACCACAGCCACTTTGCCACCATCAGGAGGAAACCACGAACGGATGGGTGGGTTTTATGAAAGCCGACATCTGTCTCCCCTCCCGGCCCGGCCTCACAAATCTGCCAGGCACAAACGTCTGCAGCAATGAGCTTAGCATCCAAAGTCCCAGGGCACTAACCTTTCCCTGCTCCTGCTCCCCTCCTTCCCCGTCAGGAGCCAGAGCGACCAGCCAGCCAAGGGCTTTAGTGTGATCCCCACGGCCCATCTGTCCACCCCACACATATTAACAGCCAGTGCCCTGGTGCTGGGTTTGTAAGTCGTGTTTTCTCACAGAGCAAGAGAGAATAAATTACACCGACAACTGGCAACAGCGACACCTCACAACAAGAAACAGAGAGCTGGCACTTCCAGAGGACTTTCCATCTTCCCCAGTTGTCCCACAGAGCAGAGACCACAGCTGGAGAGCACGGGATCCCGTATGGCATGTCGGAGGCTCACAGCTCTCTCCATCCCACAGCTCTTCTCCCTCACACCAACGTCCCTTCCCACTCCCCCTGGTTGTCCCACAGATGTGTTACCTTCCTGGCACCGTCTTGCCACCCCAGCCCTGCGGGTCAGTGGATGGGGAGACGCTGCTGGTGCCCCCAGCTCTGGCAATAGCCCAGTTGCCAGGGGACTGCCCCAGCCAGGGGCTCTCTCAGGCTGTCCATGTATCTCTGCTGGCCTCGGAGTCCGGGGTGGTGGGTCCCACCGGAGCAATAGGCAGGGCTGGGCACGGGGTGATCCTCCTTCGGGCTCTCGTAGCGCTGGAGCTGCCTCTCAGTGGAAAACGTGGTGTAGAGAGAGGACGGAGGGCAGCGCTGCGAGCCGGCAGCACCCCCATAACCGGGCTCCCAGGGGAGCTGGGGGTGGGTGGTCTTCATCCCTGGCTCCCGTGGGGGGACCCCGGCCCGGCCACGGCACTCGGAGTGGGCGCAGGGCCAGCAGCACCCGGCGCCGTGCAGGGACAGGGACAGAGCTGTGATCCTGTTGATGGCTCGCCGGAGGGTAGCGATTTTGGAAAGCCTTTTGCCGCCGAGGTCGTGTTTGAGGGCCAGCCGCAGGGCGTTGAAGGCTTGGTTGTAATCCAGGATCCTCTTGCGCTCCCTGACATTGGCAGCCATTCTCCTGGCCTTGGAGCGCACCGGCCTGCTCCTCTTCCTCACCTTCATCCCTTCGCTGTCCCCCAGGCAGGTGGCTGCTTCCCTCCCCTGGGGGACCCACAGACCTTGCCCGTAGCATTCCTGGGATGCAGCCCCCGCTTCCAGCTCCTCTTCCGAGCTGTCGGGCTCGGGCACCGTGCCGTTCCCCATGGCTGCTCTGGACATGGCCGCGGCGAGGGGGAGTGGGAGAGGTGCTGCCGTGGTCCTGCCTCCTGCAAGGTGTGGGAGACACTCCCCCAGGGACACGCAGCCGCCTCTAAAAAACCCCCCATGGCCGGGCTCGTCACGTGGCTCCCTCCCGACCCTCCTCACCTGCCTGCAGGTGTGCTGCCTTCTGGGGGGGACACAGGGAGAGCCCTGCCTGGCCTCTGCCCGCCGGGATCCTCCTGAGCACAGTGCCAGGCTGGAGCGTGGGACACCAATGCCAGGGTGCCCAGAGCTTGTGGTGGGATGCTGACAGACCCCAGGAGGGGAAACACCTCTGCCAAGCACAGATTTCACTGAATTTCACTGAATTTCTAGAGTTGGAAGGGACCATAGAGATCATCTAGTCCAACTCCCCTGCTGAAGCAGGATTGCCCAGAGCTAGAGCATGTTACTCAGGACTGCATCCAGGCGGGTTTTGAAAATCTCCAAAGAAGGGGACTCCACAACAGCAGTTGCAGCAGTTGCTTGAGTCCCTGCTAAGAGTTTGGCTGCTGCCAGAGTTCCCTGTGCCCCTCTGCCCTTTCCTCTGCTGGGCAGGCTGGTGGCTCAGCCTGGGGCAGGTCATCCCTAGGTTTTATATGGTGCTGCAGGGCAGAGCCCTGGCGTGGGGCTTGGGGTCTGTTCTCACTCGTGGTGCAGCATTTCTGTTATTTCCCAGCTCAGGGAAACTGAGGCAGGGAGGGATGAGGCTGCTGAGGAGAGCAGCGAGTCTTTCTCCTGGGTGCAGGAGAAGCCAAAATGAGTCCTGCCCCAGGAACGGGGCTGGAGCACTGAGCTGCCATTGAGACAACAACTTAGGGCTGCCCCACGCAGCTGTACCCCCAAAGCAGGAGCATCCATGGGCATGGAGGTAGGTGGGTGCCTGGGCAGAAGCAGCCCCCGGCAGCCCGGGGAGGAATGTGGGGGCTTGGCACGCCTCTGCCCTGCGGAGCAGGAAGCAGGAATGTGGCAGGGGGAATTGGGGCAGGTGATAAAAGAGCTAAAGTGCTACCTGCCTCCAGAGCCTTCCTGTCCCTTCCCAGCAGCAGGGACCCCCGGGGGCAGAGCTGTCTGGGCTGGTGCTGCTGGGCCTGCCCGGCACTGACTCTGGGGAAGATGATGCTGAAAGCAACTCCTTGTTCTCTGCATCCCCAGGCCGGTGGGATGAAGGCATTTGCCAGGTGCAGCGGGTCCGGAGGCCATGGGGAGGGCCAGGTCCCCATCCTCCAAGCAGCATGGGGCAGCCACGTGTGTTTGCCCATCATTTCATTAGCGAGCGGTTGCTAAACGCCTTCCTGTGTGAGGGGTAACACTTTGAAAAATGGCCCAGGAGTGGGTCTGACAAATTGTTGGGGTAACTGGTGCAAAAGCAGAGCCCCAGGAGAATGTACCCCACCTTGATCCATCCCTTCCTATCTCATTGTCCCAGCTCACATTTGATCAATAGCCACAATTAGCAGGGGACTATTTGTCTATTGCCCTTCTCCTCTCTTGGCTCTTTGAAGTTGGAGCTAATTTAGGTGCCTCTGCTCCAGGAACCCAATAAATCAGGAGCCAGGGCCTCGGGGAGAGGGAAGGACCAGGCAGCAGGACTTCAAAGGGAGGTGAAACTTGCAAATATTTTTGAGCACTCACCTGTGCTCACCATGGCTCTCTTGTTCTCCCCAGTAGCC